TTGACTATAAAAATCGGTCTTCACCTTTTAAAACTAAGCTTAATACATTTGAAAAATCCTCAAAAGTACCAAAGGGAGACAGAAGAGGCTGTCAGATTAGCACAGTGGAGGAGCTCAACTGGCCATTGCTGGCTTTGAAAACGGAAGGAAACGGATGTGAGTCATGGAAGACAGGTGCCCTAGAAACTGAAAAAAGGCAGCAAACAGATTTTCTTCTGGATAGTCCATCAAGGAAAACGCACCTCTGTGCCTTTATTTTGGCCTAGTGTGAACATGTTGAAGCTACAGAAGCCTGGGACAATAGTTGTATATTGATGAAACTGTTAGCTTAGAGCAGTCATCCTTAACCTTTCTGATGCTTCAACCCTTTAATACGGCTCCTCATGTTGTGGTGACCCCCAACCATAAAATTAGCTTTGTTGCTACTTCATAACTATAATTTTGCTACGTTTCTGAATTGTAATTAAAAAATCTGTGTTTTCCGATGATCTTACGTGACCCCTGTGAAGGGGTCATTTGACCTGCAATGACGGACAGGTTGAGAACCACTGATTTAGAGGTGACTAGTGAGAGCAGCAACTGGGAAGTCATACTACCCGAGTCTTGTTGCCTTATTTCTGCATGGTCTCTACCTGAGGCTGTCCCTGCATAGCTGCAGGCCTGTATCCATATAAGAAGTCTTATTCTGTGCATGTCTTTTTGTGTGCCATGATACTAGAGAACTTCCCTCTACTTTGGATGATTCTTTATTGTGGCCAGATCTTCCATTTGTGCAACATTCCTGGTATTTCTCTTCTTCCTTACACACTGTTTTTCCAGGTGTATAGATGGCCAGTCTGCTCTGTGAGCTGGGGGAAAGGAATTTCGTCCTGCTACAGAGGGTTCTTTGGGGGATCTGCCTCCCTACATGGATGGCACTCAGCTCTATCTTCTGAGATTAGGTATGTGGATCTGCCTAATGAATCTCTGATCGCAATACCAGGAAATATCCAAACATACCTTTGTATATATAGTTAATGTAAGCCTTTGTGTGTCTGTTTTGGACTGAATGGCTGTGGGAGTGAGTGGGACAAAAGCCTCTGTCATCACTCCCTATTTTGCTAGTGGGTATCAATTGCAGATAGCTTTTTGGCTAGGGGTAAGACCCAATGTCCCCTCCTGCTCAGTACTGGGACCCTGTCTGGCTTAATCCTGTACTGGTCTTGTTCAAGCTGCAATAGTCTCATACACGGATTACTCCTATTGTATCTGGAAGACACCGTGCTCTTGAAGTCATCCATCACCGCTGGCTCTTGTAATCTTTCTGTCTCCTCTTCCATGAAGTTCCCAGCCTTGAGGAAGAGATGCTTGATGAAAACTTCCCACTTAGGGCTGAGTGCTCCAAAGTCTGTTACTCTCTGCACATTGTACAGTTGTGGGTCTGTATTGACTCCCATTTACTCCAAGAAGAAGCTTGTCTAGTGGAGATTGGATGAGGCAGTGATCTAAGAATACAGCCATAGAGAGGTACTAGTGAGGTAGATGAAGGCACCATTTAAGTGACTTCATGAAAGCCACTTGCAATGGGGAAACACAGGGCCATCCTAAATTTAGCATGAAAAGAGTCATAGCTTCAAGAATCACATTTCACAAATATCACAATGGTTAAGTGACAGGCAGTCGTTTAAGAGCTGCTTTAACATATGGAGGGAGGAAGAGATGGGGTTTCCTATGGCATCTACATCCAGCCCGTACCACCATCTTTACTAACAACAGATGGGCCTCTAATCAATATTTTAAAACAGCCGAACATTTGTTTCAGCATTTGACTGACTTAAGCCTTGAATACAGGCACAGAAAATATTTTAAGCTTTATAGATATGTGGGCGTTTATTTTTTTTCTCATTCATCGTCTTTCTAAATGGTGTCTGGGAGGCTGGAATACATAGATGCTCATATAGACATGGTTTTAGAGGGAACACACAGCTCAGAACCTCACGGTACTTGTGGTAATACTACAGTGGAAACACACTGGCTGCTACCCATGCTCATGTTTTCAGTGATACTTAGAAAGTGTCAAAAGAGACAGACAAGTAAAAAAGATGACAGAAAATGACGGTAGGAAAACAGAAAATACAGAAAGAGAGGGAATGAGGACATGTTTGTTAGCCGTGTATGGAGAGAATCTCTATGTAGCCTGAAGGCAGAAACCTGCTGCTACTGACCCAGAACTATGCATACTGCCCGGTTGATTTTCATTAAATTCACTTAAGTGATGTATTGGGAAGGCTGACTTATTGGAAGAAATTTATTTATTAACTAAAAGAACCAGTATTCTAGCTATCATCAGAGATCATGGTCTTTTCTGACCCAAACCGTACAGGATACCTGGAAGAAAATATAATTAAGTCATTAAAGAAAAAGCTTGAAAATTACTGGAAGCAGATGAACAAAGTGCTGTGGGAACCTAGGAGGAATTCTTTGCTCTATTGTAGACCCTGGGGACTCTTTATGGAGCATGCAGCCTAGAACAATAGTGGGCAAAGTCTGGGGGAGAGCCAGGCCTGCTATGCAAACAAGAATGTCACAGTAGCTAAAATGGACCGCCTGGACATGAGAGGCTAGGGATACATGGGGGTCTTGTAAGTAGGAGGGTATTGAGTTCAAGGCTAACCTGGGATACATAGCAAGATGCTGAATGAAAAAAAAAATTGTATAATCAAATAAAAACAGGACAAGGTGCAATTGGGAAGATACAATGACAGTGACCGTATGAGGGAAGATTATTGCCAGTGCCTAGACTGAAAAATCTGAATAAAACATACTTATGCACATCAAAGTCTTATTAAGACAAGAACAAGTCTGTCCCCAGATCATAGAAATAAATAAGCAATTAAAATAGGAAGTAAGTCAGTGAGACAGAAACTAAGAGAACAGTACAAAGGAATGGTGTAATAAAGAGCTCGTGACTTGCCAGAAAAAAAAAGATTGACCAGCCTAACTAAAAGAGAGATAGAGAGAAAGAAAGAAAGTATAAAATTAGAGATTAAAAAGGAAATATTACAGTAGAAATATAGAGGATTACTAAAGAATGTTTTGAAAACATAATCTTGCAACTTAAGAAAATCTAGACAAAAAGATTGTCCTAACAACACTGACCTAATAATATATTATAAAAACTCCAGTTGACCAATAATAAAGAACAAGACTGAAACAATAATGAAAAATCATTTAACAAAGAAAAGCCCAGGAATGGATAGATTTGCTGGCCAATTGTACTAGCCCCTTAAAGCAAGAGCTCCAATACTTCTTAAACTGTTTTTTACAAAAGAGAAGATAGGGAGTGCCTCCAAACTCATGAAGCAAGTATTATTCTGACACAGAAGCTGGATGAAAACATAGCAAAAAGCTCAACTATAATTTAGTTTTCTTGAGAAACATAGAGGTAAAATTCATCAGTAAATACTTGCAATTAGGATTCAACAAATTATTCCTATTTTCTGATGATATGATCCTGTCATAGCTTCAAGAATCACATTTCACAAATATCACAATGGTTAAGTGACAGGCTGTCGTTTAAGAGCTGCTTTAACATATGGAGGGAGGAAGAGATAAGGTTTCCTGTGGCATCTACATCCAGCCCGTGCCATACATGACAATACATAGAACAGAGAACCTGGAGTTATACTAACACAATTACAGCTATTTGCTTCTCAACAAAGATGGCAAAAACATACATTGTAGACAGGACAGCCTCCTTGACAAAGGGTGTGGGGAACTGAATATTCACTTAGAAAAGAGAAGAACATGATCCTGGCCTCTTACCCGGTATAAAAATCAGTTTAGAAATTTTATGAAAAACCTAAACATTGAGAATTGTCAGAGAAAAGATATGGAAAAACACAGCCAAAGACATGACTTTTTAAAGGGCTCCAATGTCTCAGGAAATAATAGCAAGCAAGAGTTCACTGTTCAAATCATACCTAGTTGAAAGCTGCTGCACAGCAAACTAAATAATTACCAGGGTGCAAAGACAGCCGACAGCTCGAAAGATTATCTTTTTAGCTATTGATCTGATGGGGAATTACAATTAAGGATACATGAGGAGCTCAAAAAAATTGAATTCCACAAGAAAAATAATCCATTAGATGGACAAATGGAGTAGAGACTCTCCAAGAGATGAAATAGAAATGACTAATAAATAAATGAAACCCAATCCACTTCTTCAGCTTTCAGTGAAATGTAAATCAGAACTACAATGGAATTCTAACCCAACCTATTCTGACTATCACCAAGAAAAAACAAGCAAACATAAAAATTAATAAGAAGCAAATGCTATTGAGGGAGTGAGGCGAAAGAGCATATGAAATGTCGGTGGGGATCTGAATGAATGGAGCCGGTTTGGAAAACTAATATGAGGATGCCTCAAAGAACTAAAAAGAGAGCTACCAATGGGTCCAGTTATCCTGCTCCCACACATTACCCAAGCAACGAGCCAGCACTCAACAGACACATCAACATGCCCTTGTTCGTCTGAGCACTATTCAGAATAGATAAATCATGGAATCAGCTTTGTGGGTGGAACCTGCTTTGCTGAATGTGAGATTATGTCCTCTGCAAATGGTCATGAAGTGACTTTTTAATTTCCAAGTCGGATGCTTTTTATATCTTTCTCTTGGTCTATTGCTCTAGCTAGGACCACTAGTACTTTGTTGAATAAAGGAGATTAGGTTGTAGTAGCCAGCTCCTAGGACGACCTCACCTTAACCTCTTGATGCCCATACCCTGGTAAAATTCCATCCCCGCCACTGTATGGGAGTTAGTCTGTATGGCCAGAGCAAAACAAAAGTGATGGTACATTATGTCCAAGGCCAGGTCATAAATTATACTGTGGCTGCTTCCTTGCTTTGTCCTTTGAACTATGTTCTCTATGGGAGGAGCTGTCTCAATGCTTGGACACTCAAGTAGCCTATGGCTTATTCCTTGTCGCAAAGAACTGAAGCCCTTACTCAAGCGCCATGTGAGCATGCCACCTTGGAAATGACTCCCCAGTCCTAGTGAAAACTCCAGAAGACTGCAGCCTTCGCTTGCATGATGGCTGCAACCTCATGAACAAATCAAGTCAGAACCTCCCCACGAAAGCCGCTTCCCAGGTCAGACAAAAGGCATTTTTGTAATAATTAAGTCATTTATTTTTAAGCTCCTCTGTTTCTGAGTAACTTTTAATGGAGTAATCAGTAGCTATAGTTTTTGCTGACATAGAGATCGTAACAAAAGATAAAGCAGGGAAGATACTCAAGATTGGATTCCACATTTCCCATGAACCTCCGAGAGGTTTGGGGATTCCCTCAGCAGTTCACCAGGGTGCACCACGCTGCGACTTCCGCACTATCCCTGATCCACGTGACACAGAGCATGGCACAGCTAGGAAGTGGGTAGGTACGGTGGCAAGAACTTACTTTCATGAGCATAAGCCCAGGGCTCCTGCCCCTGTATTACTCTTCAGCAAAGTGGATTTCTCTTTTCTCTGTCATTCATGTGAGATACTGACCCAGCTTGCTGAAGTTCAGTCATTTGGCTCAGGAACTCTTGCTTATCTAAGAAGACTGTGTTCCTTGGTAAAGTGGGAGGTAGCTTGACTGTTGATTCTCATAGGCTAAGGAATCACCCCACCTCCAAAGCTGTACTGATTCTACTGCTGAGTTTGTGATTGCTCCTTCTAAGACAAAAGAGATATTGCAGACACAATTATGTTAAGGATCTGGCTGGGGAGATGGTGAGGTGATTCTGATTTTTCAGGTAGGCTCTGTGTGTAATCAAAGTGTCCTTACAAGAAAGAAGCGGAGGGAGCTTTGATAAGAAGGAAAGGAGATATGATGCCGCAGCCTGACTAAACAGGTGACGCAAGTCCAGGCTGGGAGCCAGGGATGATGGCATCCTCCAGTCTGGCAAAGGGAAGAAGTGAGATTCTTCCAGAGAGGCTCCACAGCCTCCTTGATTTTAGCTCACTGTGACTGACTTCAGGGTTCAGGTTGGAAAGAAAATATGTTGTGTTGTTTTAGGCCACCACGGCTGTCATTAATTTGTTATAGTTACTAAAAGGAATAAATTACACTTATCTCAGTTTCAACTGGTCTTACCTAGCTCTGACAGCTTATGTAGGACAAACTAAGATTTTATTTTCTCATCTACAAAAGAGGAATAATAAAATGTCCTTTTCACAGGGTTGCCATGAGATTGCATAAGAACATGCACATCAAGGGCTCGCGATCAGATTTGGCACACTGAATGTTTTTTTTTTCTTTTTTTTTTTTTTTGCGGCCTATGGGTTTGGTCTAAGAAAGGAGATCATAAATTTCTTTTCCTAGTCTTAGAAAAAAAAATCAAGTTGCTCTTGGAAAAGAGAAGGGTTAAGTATTTCTTAGTTCTTTGCCTTCTTCTCTGACTCTGTAAGCAAGATAGAAACAAAAGGGGGGAAAAACAGACAAGTGGAATGACTGGGAAGTGACCCAAATGAGACAGCTGAAGGCGACAGGAAAGAATCACCTAGAACCAGCTTCATGGAAAGCCACACAGTGCAGGTAAAAAGCTGTCTGAACTACAAAGACCCCTGGAGAGAGCGCTTGCTCACAAGGTGCCTGGAGAGCTACCTTGAACACAAAACTGTTCTTCAGGTTCAAAAAAGACTGAATTGATGGCCACACATTCTGTACTTAAAATAGAATGCTTTGACTTGTCAAAGCAAGCTGTTTAATAGACAAAGCTAAAGGACTCTATCAAGGGGCACCTTGGAGAACTGGTTATGCCGCTGTGCACTTTCAGGTGTATGAAATCCATACAGCAATAAACCTTTTCTTTTCCTTACTTTGGATTTTTAGAAAACTTAGTGTTAATTAGTCATATCCTCGTAAGTACATTTATTTGCACTATTCATCCCTCTAACTCAGTCCTCCTTAGAGACATCTTCTACTTCCTGCTGACTTGCCATTTCTATTCTGTAGTTTCTATCTTATATATAGTTAATACGAACTTTCCACATGGCAGCCACAAGGTTTAGTCTCCCATCATTTCTAGCAAGAGACCCCGCAGATAGGAAAGACATCTCCACCATCCTTTTGCCCAGTGCTTGGAAGAACATTCTGTGCTTTTTGGTTGTTTTACGAAAATAGAGTTGAGTCTAGAAAACGCAATGCAAAGGATGTTTTCAAAACAGTCTGATACTGCTGTCTTCACTAAGATTGCAGAGTAAATTGAGGGGTTTTTGTTGTGTAAACTTTTCCTAGAGAGACAACAAGCGTCTGTTAACTCCTGACAGGGCACCAACAATAGACCAAAGACATGACTGCACTCAAGTCTAGCTTGGTGAACCAATGAGTTTAATTAGGGTTTTACTAACAAAAACATGGGTGAGGAGTTATTTAAAGTAACACAGGCAGCTTGTAGGTGGTTATACCACTAAAAATATATTTCTTCTCCAATAACTGCTAACTTTCTCTGTATATTCAGGGAGGGACACTGTATGCAATTATATACATGTTTGGGGAGGGACTGGGTTCCATGGGTCTTTCATTCTATCCATGATGAACAATTGATGGACTCAATTCTTTTTTTTTTCCAGGTTTCTTGCTGACAAGTCAAGCGAGCAGCCACCAAACTTGAAGGAACACAATGTTCCATAATAGTCCGCAACATTCACATCCTGCTGGTTAGAGGTGATTCTTGTGAGGCCAGGAATCTGGCTTCTTGGGCTGCCTTCTGAGGTGAGAGTGAGAAAGGGGTGGTACCCAACCCTTGGGACAAGATCAGTCTATAGGCAACTGATAGAGGTGCTGGTTCCTCGGATGCAGAGACTCGGCTACCTAAATAGTCTATAGTGACAGGCATCTTACTATGGTGGTTTTGGTTGGCTAATGGACCATAATCGCTGAGATGGGGTTTCACCTCTGCCCATGGAGGACTATTGCTTTGCTGGTGCCATGTCATGATGATGTGTAACAGTATTGGTGACAGATCTCTTTGACCCTTTTAAAATCTCTGCTCTAAAGTATCAGTCAGTCCAAAAGAAGTTTGCTTGCCCACACCCAGCCTCCCCACTCCTTTCATGCGAAATTAAAATTAATGTAGGACCTGAGATGCTCCCAGCTTCTAGAAGAGGAGATGTAGCTTTTATTACTCGCAGCTTACACGCCAGAAAGGACCGTTCTCCATTGCTTCAGCTGCAATCGACTACAGCCGATGCATTCCAGCTGGTCACACACTATCAGCAATGCCTTCTTATTTCCACAGTAAACACAGAAGCTTGCATAGATAGCAGGAGAGTTTCTGTGGGTAGCAGACGCAAAGCGCTCCGTGCCCCACTTCCTCGTGTTTCAGGGACCCATGAATATGCCTCTGCGCTGCTCCCCTGTATCCTCAAATCATGATTAATTTAAACCTCTTTCTCTCCTTGCTCAGGCTTGACCGAGCAACCGCTTTTCTGTCGCATTGATTTTTCTGTCCTTGTGGATTCAGAGCCAGGGTTGAGTCCTCTTAACAGGGTGAGCTCTCTGACAAGGGAGTTTTGCAACCTAATTTACAGCCAGAGTCAAGCTTGTCAGTGAGTGCCAGGGGGAACTGTCGCAACTAGCCCCTGAAGTATGCATTTAATAGTGTTTATCCAAGCAAGTTTGTGATTTCTTCACTCTCTCCAACAAATATGTTATTTGTAATCCTTATCTTCTTTAATCTAGGTGTTTGAAAAATGTCGCTAACGTGTGTGGGCTAGAATGCATTTTGCTTTTCTACGGGAATACACATTTAGCAAGGGCGGTCTCTGAGGAACGTTCAGCCCCTGCTTGCTGTTGCTCCACATCATGTCTTCCTGCAGTGACCATGGCTTAACCCTGAAGGAAAACAGGGTAATCTTTTCAAATAAACATTCTCAAGGATGTTTAGAGGGAGCCCAATTGCTAGCACGGAGATCGCTGAGGATGCCTGCTAGCTGTACTGAAGCAGCACAGTTACAGAAAGTGGGGGGTGATCGTAATAAGCATTTGGTCTTTCCAGATGATGAACAATAATCAGCTAGGCTGTAAGCAAAGATCTGTGTGTGTTCTAAAAGTCTCGCGGGACCATAGTTCTCTGTGTATTTGGTGGAACACAGGGCACAGACAGGCCACTTGGTCACTTGGCAAGGGATAGCAGCAGTACAGACAGGATCTTTAGAAGGGGTTATGTCCCAGTGTATACCATCATGGTCCAAAAGTAGCCTCAGTTGAAAGTACATGTAAATTGCTGTCTTGCCCAACACCCAAGTTTAGGAGCACAGCCTGCTCAGTTTCTATTAAGTGTTTCCCTCATTTTGGTGTGACCGACTTAGATGGACGGTTTGCTGTCTTTGCCCAATATCTTGGGAGAGAATCATTCTTCCTATGTATAGTCCTTGGTGGGGGTATCAATACTCACAATTGAGACCTGGTTTCTGTGGAACGTGTATTACTCTTGAACCATGGGAAACTCAGAAAATTGTCAAGTTGAACCATTGTAGACTTGGATTATCTGTATTTGGACGGAAGCCCGCTAGGTTTTGTTGGCCTAACCTGCTTTTGATCAGAGGAAATATGAGATGAGAAAGTACTTGTGATTAACCGAAAAGAGGCACTGCAATAAACGGTCACATAAAATTATCCTTGCAGTATCTTTATTCTCAAGAAACTTGACATACATGAGAAAGAAATTATAGGGCATAGATTGGATAAACAAAGGTTTGCTTGGATGATATAATTAAATGTAAACAAAGCACATATGCTGGAATTCATCATATCACCAACATTATGTTGTACTGAAATGCTTTTATATGCCCCCTTCCTTGCCTGTGGGTTTCTTCGGGGCAAATGGTTTATTTTACTGGGGCCAGAATTCTCAGGAATTAGTACTGGTTCTGACCCATATGAGGATGGAATGATTGAGAGATTGGACTTGGTCTTGAGTTTAATATTAGAAACAGAAAGCAAATGGAAATGTGCTCTCCTCTCTCATGAGTCTTCCTCCCTTCCTCAGACTTTTATGCTTTGGTCAGATCAAGAAGATTACTCGAGGCTAAAGACTTGTGATAGATGACAGAGCTCATTTTAGGGATCAGACTTATCTGTGGCTTCTGAAGTTCCTAATGTTGGGCAAAGGCTCCAGGAGATTTGACTGTGCACAGTCACAAAATTAAGTCTATGAAATCTCACTCACCCACTTACCTTTCCTTAGAAGAGGGAAGTTGTTGAGGAAGATTTGTTTACACTGTGAAGATGTGTTTTTGCCAAACCACCTTCTGATTGGTTTACTAAAGAGTTGAATGGGCAATAGCTAGTCAGGAAGAGGTTTGGAAGAACTTCCAGGGTCAGAGAAGACTCTGGGAAGAAGAAAGGGAAATTGCCAGCTAGATGCTGAGGAAGCAGGATAGGCAGTATGGAGATGCCAAGGAGACACTGATGAGGTCGGACATACAATCCAGAGTAGAGGTAACCAAGCTACACAGCAGAATATAGGGTGAGCTACATGGCAGAATACAGGGTAATAAAAGAAGGTTAATTTAAGTTATAAGGTTTAGTGGGACCAGCCTAAGATAGTGGCCATGATTTTATAATTAATAAGAAATTTCCATATCAATATTCGTGAACTGGAAACCCAAGAAAATATTGAACTTTGAGAAATTATAATGTAATTATTAGCCTGTAGAGATACTTTACCACTTTTGGATAATTTCAGAAGAATGTGCAAGCATTCAATAGAGAGATGCTTTTGAGATACTTGTGTGTAACTTGATATAGTTAAATGATATGCAAAGAACACTTAGTGTACATTTGCTTTGCTTTGAAACAAAGTTTCACTATGTAGCCCTGACTAGCCTGGAACTCAGCAGACTGAGTTCAAACTCACAAGATCTGTCTCTGCCCTCCAAGTGCTGGGATTAAACGTGTTTACCACTCTACCCAGCTAATATTTCATATGTATTAAACATGTTTAGACTTCACAGCAATCTTATGAAATGGGCATTATTGTTCCTGATTTGAAATAAAAAGGCAAATATCACATTTTCTTTAATATTCATTTCGCAATTTTTTAAAACTCTCGTGTTCTTCATAAATTCAACATCTAGTAAAGAAAATTGGCATACAAGCATGTATGTAGTTATAGAAAACAATATGGTGTGAAAGGAGAAGGAGCCAAGCCAGCAGAAATGGACATGGGGAGTAAGGCACTGGGTTTTCAGAAGACCTCCCTAGAAGCAGCGCGCTTGGGCAGAACTTGACTTTTTAAGGTTCTGTTGTATTGGGAGTTTCCCTACCCTTTGCAGAAGGAAGTTCCATTATTTTTCAAAGACAGATTTTGGTGTTTTTTTTTCCCCCCACAGTTTGCTCATGACAGAATTAAATTCGCTAGGGAACAAAATTAGACAAAGTCTAGATTTGATAGTAATGAGGCTGCTGGGGAAAAAAGTCACTCAAACATTTGCGGCTAAGACTTCCTCGTTTATGAGAAGAAATAGGCCCACTCATTCATTCTATGATGACATATTTTCCAAACAGAAGCCATCAAGATGCCTTTAAATCAGACCAACTATTTCTCTAGATACTATCTTCCTATTGAGGGTCACAGCCCAGAGACTGTGGTCAAATGTGAGGTGGAACAGTTAGGTATGAAGGAAGTTGGTCACATGGTGAAAATTTCATCTCATTTTATTTTTATCAGTGTCAAATCCTCAGCATATTATAGCTCCAGGATGTCTTTATTTAAATAAAGTCTTTGAAGACAGTGATATTTGATCATTAGCCATATATAGAGAGAGTTCCATCTAATATCTGAAACTCGAAGACTAGGCAGCTTCATCAGAAAATTAGTTGTTGCCCATAGAAGCTCCTTACTTAGAGAGAAAGAAAATAAAATAGCAACAGATACACACACATTTCCACCAGGAAAGATGGGGAAGCAGGTCAAAAATCTCAGAATTTGAATTTGGATTTTCCAAGAAATCAGTCTTGTTTAAAATTCATTAGTTCATCTACAACAACATGATGTTGTTGATGATGATGGGTGTGTGTTTCTGTGTGTGTGTAAGAGAGCAACACAACACATACACAGAGGAGAAAATCACACACACACACACAGAGAGAGAGAGAGAGAGAGAGAGAGAGAGAGAGAGAGAGAGAGAGAGAGTAGAGGAGAAAATTACAATATACTGAATTGTGTTCCACAGATTTTCTTTTTGGAAAACCTTTTCCAATTCAGTATTAAAAGATTATTAACATATGTTCATTATATGATGGATTTCATAGGGACATTTTCCTATATGTATGTCATGTATTTGGCTCTATCTTATCAACCATTACCCTGTCTTGTCCCTTTTTACCTATCCCTTTTCATCCCCCAAATAATTCCTCTTCTGCTTTCGTACCACATATATATTATTTCATGATATGTATTTGGTATATCAATGTATTTATAATTATATTTATACTTATACATAATGTAGATTCTTCAAATGGAAAAGAATGTAATCTTTCTGAGAGTGGCTGTTATTGCTTAACATGACATTCTCCAGTTCTCTCCATTCAGCTGAACGTGAAACACTTGTGTCCTCTTTGGCTGATTAAGTTCATTGTCATATGTGCTCTGTTTTCTTTATGTAGTTTGTTGGGGTCATATAGAGAACTCCTGTACTCACAGAGAAGCACTAAGAGAACCAGCAATGTTAGTCAAGCATGGATGTCTCCTCAATGGAGGAGATAAT